CGGATCTCTGTGAGCTGGAGACCAGCCTGGTCTACAAGAGCTAGTTCCAGGACAGCCTCCAGAGCCACAGAGAAACTCTGTCTCGAAAAAACAAAACAAAACAAAAACAAAAACAAAAACAAAAAAAAGGTGTAAAATAAGGCCATTGATATGGATCAACAGGTAAAGTCACCTGCTTCCAAACCAAATGACCTAAGTTCGATTCCCAGAACCCACATGATAGAAGAGAACTGGCTCCCAAAAATTGTCCTCTGCCCTCCACACTCAGGCTGCAGCATTGCCCACCCATACACATACACTCACCACACAAAATGAATAAATAAAAGTGGGAGTTTAAAACAGAGTAAAATCATGATTTTTAACATTGATTAAATACGTAAATGACTACCTTAGATAGATTGGGTTAAATAAACTATCATCACTAAATTTTACTTGTTTTTACTTTTCATGTGAAATTCAATTTTAGATTACATAATACTCAGTTCTGTTGGGCAGTGCTGACTTAGAAACTACATAAGAGAAATGATAGATCACTGTATTTACAAGTTTGAATGGCCTGTTCTACAGCACTTTGTCTTATCCCAAAGGCCATTTTCCACCATAAAACCCATTAGACTCCACACCAATGCAAGACCAATGCTAGCGTTTCCAGGATTATTGGTGTTGGGTTAAGTCTTCTCTAATGATGAATGCTTTGCTATTCTGCTTAATACTAACCAATTATAACTATTCTAATTATCAGAAAGCCCTTCCTCACACTGGGAAGGAATTTCTTCTTTGTACTTTCAACATCTGAGACTTTTTTCTTGAGCATAATTAAGTCTAACCCTTCTATTATTTAGACTTTCTGTTGTGGAGACAAGTACCTGAGGGAAGCAATTTAATAAAATGAAGTTTGGGGGGTTGTTTTTGGGGGGGTTTCTGGGGGTTTTGTTGTTGTTGTTGTTTTGGCTCCTGCTTTTAGAGGTTTCAGCCAGTGGTCTCTGGCCCCGTTGCTTTTATGTCTGTGCAAGGCAGAAGCCTTAAGGACTTCCTTCAAGTGATTAACTCTAGAGGAGATGACCTCTTATGATATATATCTAGTCTGTTTGTGGGACTCCTAACAATGGGAGCAGGGACTGTCCCTAATGCTTTGGCTAGCTCTTGGGAACCCATTCCTCATACCAGATTGCCTTGTCCAGCCTTAATACAAGGGAGGTGCCTAGACTCACAGCAACTCGATATGCCATGATTTGCTGATACCCATGGGAGCCCTGCTCCTTTCTAAACAGAAAGAGAGGAGGAGTGGATGGGGGGGGGTGGAGAATGGGAGGAGAGGATGGAGGGGAAACTGGTCATGATGTAAAATAAATAAATGAATAAAATAAATTACACCTGCAAGGTCATTCAATGCTGTTTTCTTTTCTTCCTTCCTTCCTTCCTTTTTTTTTTTTTTTTTTTTTTTTTTTTTTTTTTTTTTTGGTTTTTCCAGACAGGGTTTCTCGGTGGCTTTGGAGGATGCCCTGGAACTAGCTCTTGAGACCATCTCAAACTCATAGAGATCTGCCTGCTTCTGCCTCCCGAGTACTGGGACTAAAGGCATGCGCCACTAATGCCCATCACTGCTGTTTTCTGCCTGAGTCAGAAACTTTTCTTCCCCACTTAATAAAGGATCTCTCTGTGAAGAAAAACAAAAAGACTATGTCTCTCTATATAAAGTTTTATAACTATTCACTTATTTTGCGCGTAGGAGGCATTGAGCACTCTCTACCTACAATCTTGCTGTAGGAATGCTGTGATTACAGATGGCACCACCACAGCTGGCTTTGTATGTGGGATCTGGGATGGACACAGGTTGTCAGGCTTGCTCAGCTAGTGTCTTCATCAGCCAATATGTTCCCCACAAGAGCAATAGCTAGCTGCACGTTTATGTTTTAGTACTTAGGTTTTGTGTTTGACAGTATTCTTTCTTTTTGAAGAAGAGTCTTGCTTTATTTGTAATTGTAAATGTATGTGTGTGGTACACATGAGTGCATCTTCCTGCAGAGGCAGAGGAGCCCCAGGAGCAGGAGCTACAGGTGGTCGTGAGTGCAGTACACACGCACACACCTCCTGAGAGTCCTTTGTTTTGTTCCTCATCTATTTTCTTTAGTTAATCCAATGATCATACATGAGCAGGAACCAATGGAATTTTTTGAATACCTGGAATCTGGACTCGAATTTACATACTAAGTTTCCTTGAAATTCTGACATTTTCTTTTTCAGTTCTTCATCTTAATTCAAATAAACAGTTTTCAGTCTTTCCTCCTTACCACCTTTCCATGCTTGTAGGAGTATTAAATAAGTGTGTGTGTGTGTGTGTGTGTGTGTGTGTGTGTGTGTATCTCTCCATATAGAATGGGCTCTACTAAGCCTTATATATTGTCCCAGTCACACCATTGTCACCTATATTAAGGGAGTCTAGTTCTGTCTTCTTCAGGTTCCCCATTTGTCAAACCTGAGTCAGTGATCTCTCACTAGCTTGGGTCAGCTGAGTCTGTGGGTTTTCCCATCATGGTCTTGACTCCTTTGTTCATATTATCACTCCACCCTCACCTCAATTGTACTCCAGGAGCTCAGCCCAATGGTTAGTTGTAAATTTCTGCATCTGCTGTAAATATTGTTTATATAAGTACTGTATAAGGGCCTTTGGGGTGGTTTTAATACTGCCCCACCCCACCCCCCACAAATATGTCAATGCTCTCTCCCCATAACTGGAAACGTAGTCTTGTCTGGATAAAGAATCTCTGCAGATACAACTAAATGGAAGATCTCAAGATGCACTCACTCCAGGTTATCCAGCTGGGCCTTAACACTGATGAGGAAAGCGGAGCTTCGAGTTGCACAGCCACCTGCATGCTGCCAATACTACGGTTTCAGACTGTCTTTTGGTCAAGGTAGCCATTATATTTCCTTGGTATCAAATTAGATTGAAGCTACAATGTCACCCTTCTCAGGCACAAATCATGCTCTTTACTCCACTGTTATCCTAGCAATTTGAGCCCATGTTTCATTACTCCTTAAAAGGAGTAACTTTAGTCCAGAGCATCCCAAACTGGTATCTTGAAAAGTTCTGAAGGACATAAATGAAAGCTACTGCAACTTCCAAAAAGGCCTGGAACTCGCAAATAACGTAAGAGGAGGGGCTAGGACCTCCAACATGCCCTCCATGGCGGCCCTCAGTGACGTAACATACTTCCCGCAGGCTCCACTGCCTGAAGACCAAACCCTTAATGAGGCAGGAGCCTTTTAGGGGACCTTTCAGACCCAAACTATAACAAGGAGATAAACCTAAAATGTGACAGTCTCCCCTCTCAAAGCTTTTACTGCAATGTAATTGCTTCTGGATAAATATTTTTTGAAGAAGTTTCTCAGTGGCAGCCGTTTGTAAAGGATCACCAGTTTTAATTAGGTGTAACCAAAGTAGGAGGACAAAGAGATTTAAAGGCATATCCTCCCGATTTTTATGGGTTTGCTGAATTTATAAAGAGGATCTTTGAACCTATTCTGCTCATAGAAACATATTTAGACGCTTTTTGCTTATATGTTTTATTTGCTTTGGCTTTTTGTTTGTTATTGCTTTTGGCTTACATGTTTAATCCCATCTCCTTAGTAGAGTCTAGTAACTTTATCTTTTTCCTTTTTAGATATATTTATTTATTATGTATACAGTGTTCTGTCCTGTTCCCGAAGGCCAGAAGAGGGCACCAGATCTCATTGCAGATGGTTGTGAGCCACCATGTGATTGCTGGGAATTGAACTCAGGACCTCTGGAAAAACAGCCGGCGTTCTTAGCCTCTGAGCCATCTCTCCAGCCCCATAGTAACTGTGTCTTAAGGTAACTTTTTCCCTAGCAAAAAGAAATTTCTGTTTTTATGGCTTTAAGCATTATTTGGCATTAAAAAGAAGTCATTTAGACACCAAAAGATATTATGCAGGTGAAAAATTTTAAACTCAGCATGTTTTTCAGACTTCAAATACCATCTGTTATGTTTCCACAGCATGGCATGGCACGATTTCTGAATATGAGTCCTCTTGTACTTTTAATTTCTTAAAGTGTATCAGGGAATGGAAACGGGCTAAACTGTCTTTCATAACAGACCTCTTGGGACAGTCTTCAGTAATACACAGCTGGAAATACAACCTGGCATTTCTTATTCCCACCTGGGCAGTCTGTCATATCTTGTCATGTTCAGATGCCTGCCGTGTCTTAGTAGGGGGAGAGTGCCAGCAAAGTGGCTTGGAAGGTGCCATAGAAACATCTCCATAGAAAATATTAGAGGCAACATCAGAATGTCATCCACATTTTTAAAAATATATTACTCATTTCTTGAAATTTTCATAGCTGTTTACAAAGAGTTTTGATCATATCTACCCTGACTTCTCTCTCCAATTCCCCTGTGGCTCCCCTAACACATCTCCCTCCCAAATTCATGTCTTCTTTTTTTCTTTTTCTAAAATAATAATAACAATAATAATAATTCACTGGCTGGGTGGTGGTGGCGTACATCTTAACCCAGCACTCAGGAGACAGAGGCCAGCCTGGTCTACAGAGCAAATTCCAGGACAGTCAGGGCTACGCAGAGAAACCCTGTATCAAAAAAAAAAAAAAAAAAAAAAAAAAAAAAAA